GTAGGGAAATCGTTATTTATGCGGCATCTTCCTTTGAGCCTGAGGCAGTTTGAGGACACTATAAAAGCCAGCCCAACTTGTCAGTCTCCCAACCACTTCTCTCACCTCCTTCTCCTTGGGAACCAGGTGAGTTGGAACTCCTTTCTCCTCCACCTCCTCCTATAGGACAGGGTTTTGCCTTCAGGACAACTCAGCTGATACCCCCTCCTTGTTCTTATGTTAGTACTCTGAGATCATGGTTGTAAGATAGGGCAGAGAAAAGATGATCTGTCATGGTGAGAGGTTGAGGCTGGGCTGAGGTGGCTTTTTGGCTACAGTTCAGTCAGTATCACCCCTGGACCAGGCCGCTATCTGAAGGACCCCATTGAACTCAGGCAAAGAAGCTCTTGTTCACCCCTTCACAGCCTCTGTCTCCCCAATTGGCAAGTGCTTTGGCTTCCTTTTGGTGGAGTGGCAGGCTGTTCCTCAGCTGTTTCTGTGTTCTGCTTCCTCCCTACCCTCTCTCACAGGTGTATCACCAGCCTCAAGACATGTCCTGCTCCGACAGGTGCCAGCCCTGCCTCCCGCCCCTGCCAGCCCTGCTGTGGCCCAACCCCGCTGGCCAACAGCTGCAATGAGCCCTGTGTCAGGCAGTGCCAGAACTCCACCGTTGTCATCCAGCCCTCCCCCGTGGTGGTGACCCTGCCTGGACCCATCCTCAGCTCCTTCCCACAGAACACCGTTGTGGGCTCCTCCACCTCTGCTGCTGTTGGCAGCATCCTCAGCTGTGATGGAGTGCCCATCAACTCCGGGTGCTGTGACCTCTCCTGCATTGCCAGCCGCTACTGTGGCAACAGATGCTTCCCCTGCTAAAGCTGTTGGCAGTGTCCCCTGGCAAGAACCTCCAAGACCTCAGAAGATGCTGCTGGACAGGAGATAGAGTTTTGGGGCATTGTACTTCTTCCTTCTTCCACTCTCCTCTCTCTCTCTCTCTTTCCGTTGCTGTTGCTGTGTCCAAATGTCAGCCTAGCAGGGACCTGTTGGCCTCACCACTTCTGCAGGGCAGGCAGATGGACAATGTGCAGGAGCTCCACCCCATCTTAGTGGCTGCCCCTGGTGCTCCCTGTGAGCCACCTCCTTTTCTTCTTTAGACTCATTAAAGTTGTGCTGCATCCAAGCCTGGGCCTCTGAGTCCTCCTTCCTTCTGAGGCAACTCTTCCAGTCTGCTCTGGAGAAACGGTGGAAGAAGGGGAGAGTGGGCCTCCCTGCAGTGCATTTTGTTTTGTGTCCTTTCCCTTGGAGCTGAGGAAGACATCTCTGGCTACTCCACAGCCAATGGTCGTCAATGAAAGAGCGTCTTCAAAGGGTGGCAGGAATGGGGATGGGGAACAACAGTACCTGGGGACAGACCACAGCCTCATCTCGCTGTTTTCTTCCTGCCATTACCTGATGTAGGGTCCATGGCCAGCACGCATGGGTACAGGTAGATGAGATAGATACCTCCTTTGGTCCTTCAGTGCCTGTCAGGGCCCAGTTGCTGTCCAGACATGCAGGGCCGAGGTACTTCACAAGTCAGGATTGGTATCAACCACATTCAGGCTCACAACTGAGGCCCCACTCCCTGGGAACTCAACAACCTCATGGGCCACTGCAGCTCCAGGAGAGCACCCCGTGGCCAAAGACCCAACCCAAACATCACACAAACACTGGGTATAACCCTGCCTGTAGTCAGCTTCCATGGTTCCCCAAGTGCTCTGCATGGAGCTGTGCTGTGGAAGAAGGCTCTGACAGAAGATGGCTGTGAGGATGGAAGGAGGGGCTGATAGGAGAAATCACCCTGGCTACAACTCAGAGCCTCGTCCTCCTCGCCTTCTCTCTTGTCTCAAGAAGGAAGGGGCATGGCATGCATCCAAGGGCAAGGGTGTCTAGGGCAAGTTCCCTGTGCTTCCCTCACACCCACACTGAGCCCCGTGTAGCCCCAGTGGATCATTACACAGATTTGCAGAGCTGAAATGTCTTGCAGACTTCACATCCTCAACTCCCATCAGACATTCACCTCCAGGACAAAAAGGTTATTTGCATGGGCCTGCAGGATGACACAGATGAACAACTGACAGTTCCTCCCATAGTACCATAGAGAGAGCACTGATCAGAACAGCCCATGCCCTGTCTTTGCAGCTCATGGCAAGTGCAATTCCACCTTGGGGTGAAGGGGAGTAACAGTTCCATGGCTGGAGCTCTCTCACCACCTTCACCTTTTCTCTTTGGCCACTAACACCAGCCCCTCACAGAAAGAGGATCTTCATCTGCAGATCTCTGGGTGTACAGGAGAAATAGGGGTGCCAGGGGAGAACTGAGGGCCCTCTCCCAAGAGCTCAGCTTTGCATAGAATGGCCTCCTGCCAGGACATCAAGAGAGGAGAACCGTACTGTGCCCCTCCTCCTACCTCCCTCCTCTCCTGAAGTCTACAGCTCGTGGGGAACAGCCTTTGGTGCTTACACCTTAGAAATTTGGGACTACAAAGACAGTTGAAAACTTCTGCCCTGACCTATCTGTGAAACATTGAGGATGGATGGGCTGGAAAAGAGAGGTAATGAGGGATGGATGCTTGGGGAAAGAAATGCAGGTGAAGGGGGGATGAGACAACCAAGGGAGGAGGCGTCTCTTGTCTGTCAACAGTTCTGATGTGGGACCTTTGCTAGCAGAGTCAGAAAGAGCTGAAGAAAGCAGGTCATCAACACAGCAGCTCCCATTCACACTTTGGGGTCTCCTTGTTTGTTTGATGCTATGTCAGGAGGTCTGGTGGGCTGTGCTCTGCCCCTGGCTATAAACCTGCCACTAGTTCCCAGGTCCACAAGTACAAAGGCCAATTGACATAATTACCCACCATCCTCTAAGGGAAACAACAGTGGGAGAAAGAGATTCCTCCTGCTGTCATAGAGAGAAAGAAAAAAATAAAAATAAAACCCTCATGGCACTTCTAATGACCACAGTTGTTGCAAAACTGGCTTTCAGACACTCACCCAGCCACTTGCTCTCTCACTCTCCCTTCTCAAGCTGACAAAGGTCCTGTATTGACATAAAGACAGAGGGACCAATTACCCTCACAGGCAAAACAGACTTGGCTTGGGGAAGATTCATCTAGCTTATTGCCAATTGCAAGTGCAGCAGGATGGTGAGAAACAGACAAAATACCTAAAATACTTTCACTCCATCCCCACCTCTTTTTCACAGGCCCGATTTCCCTCCTTCATTCACGACTCTTCTATTTCCTCCACCTCCAAACAGCGCAGTGGATGTCAAATGCAGTCAGTACAAAACAGTTCCTTTCTGCCACTCTTTCCTTCTCACATTTTTCATCTGCTCCAGCGTCAGCCCTTCCCATAGGATGCAGTCTCTAAAGACCAGCTCCAGCATGGATCCTGTCCATGGGCTACAGTCCTTCCAGAGAAGACTGTGCCAGCCTGGGTCCTCCAGGGGCCACCATTCTGCCAGGAGCCTGCTTCAGCATGGGCTCTGCACAGGCCACAGGTCCTGCAGGGAATACGCACCTGACCTGCTGTGGGAATCTCCATGGTCCAACAGTGCATGAGGCACAAATGCATGACTATAAATCTCAAAAGAAAAGAACCAGTCCAGGCTTCATGAAGTGACAGATGTAACTTTGAATAAGCTTAAGGAAAATGATATTATTAGTCATGCTTAAAGTTTTGGAATAAAAAAAAAAATCAAAAAATACAGTCATCTAATGTCATAGAATCATAGAATTGCCTGGTTGGAAAAGACCTTTGAGATCGTTGAGTCCAACCATATCTGTCCATTACTAAACCATCTCTTCAAGCACCCCATCTAGCTGTCTTCTAAAACACCTCCAGGGATGGTGACTCAACCACCTCCCTAGGCAGCCCATCCCAGTGCCTGAGAACCCTTTCAGTGTAGAAGTGTTACCTGACATCCAATCTGTACCTCCCCTGGCACAACTTAAGGCCATTGCCTCTTGTTCTATCACTAGTTACTTGGGAGAAAAGACACGTGCCTGCCTCCCTACAGCCTCCTTTCAGGCAGCTGTAGACAGTGATAAGGTCTCCCTTCAGCCTCCTCTTCTCCAGACTAAACAACCCCAGATCCCTCGGCCACTCCTTATAAGGCTTGTCCTCTAGCCCCTTCACCAGCTTCACTGCCCTTCACTGGACACACTCCAGCACCTCCATGTGCTTCTTGTAATGAGAGGCCTAGGAGTGGACACGGTATTCAAGACACGGGCTCACCAAAGCTGAGTACAGGGGAAGGATGACTTCCCTGGTCCTGCTGCCCAAACCATTTCTGATGCAAGCCAGGAAGCAGTTGGCTTTGGTAGATATTTTTGGAAGTGGAACACAAGGAGCAAGTTAGGGTGATTTCCTTAATGTTATCTTCATCAGATCTTAAACTGCTGTATTTCACATTCCCCCTGGGCCTCTTGGAGCTGCCCATGGCACTTTCCCAAAGGATTCTGCCTTGCAGGGCTCTGACAGGACAAAAACCTGCTCTTATGGAGTGCAGGGTTGCAATTTTGCCTGCTGTTTTGCACTCCAAAGCTGAGAACTATCCCAGTTTTTCTCCAAGACCCCAATAAGATTATGGGTCTGCAAGCATTCACAGAATTTTAGGTTGTCCCCTTGTAAGAGGCTCAGGCACTTCTCGTACGTAAGTCTGGGGTCAAGCTGGAAAGGCAAGTCAGTGAGTGTGGTGGTTTTGCCTAGGACAGAGTAAAGTTTCTACACAGTAGCTTGTATGGGGCTGTGTTTCAGACTTGTGATGAAAATGGTGTTAATAATGCAGGAAAGTTTGAATTGTTGCTGGGCAGTTCTTACAAAGCATCAAGGTCCTTTCTACTCCTTCAACTGCCCCACCAGCAAGCAGAGTGGGAGTGCAGAAGAAGAAGCTGGGAAAGAACAGGGCTGGGGAGGCTGATCCCAATTGACCAAGGGGATATTCCAGGCCGTATAACTTCATGCTCCACAATAAAACTGTGGGGGCTGTCCTTGCTCTGGGACTGGCTGAGGATCCGTCAGCTGGTGGCGAGCAATTGTTTTCTGTTCAATCACTCTATTTTCTTGGGTTTATTTTCTTTTTGTGTTCTTGTTGTTTGTTCTTTTTTCTTCTTGCAATTGTTTTCAAATTAATAAACTGTATCTATCCCAACCCATGATTTTTCTCACTTTCACTCTTCCAATTCTGCTGTTAGCTGCCAGCCCGAGTTAAAAAACAACCACAGTGCCTCAGTGAGTCAAGGTCAGAAGGAGGAATCGTGACAGTAACCAGAGTTCAACAAAGTTCAGCAATTGTCAGGTATGTTCATAGAGAAGTTGTAGGTCCTAGGTCAAGCTGGGAATTTACCTGCATACTGGGGTCCATACTGAGATCAGTGAGGTCCATGTCCAGAGGCAGGCACAGATATGTCCCAGCTGGAGCTGTATCTCAGGTTGGGGCCAAGCACTAGAACTTAAGCTTAAAAGCTGCTCCCATGGGAAGGGGAGCTGGCTCTGGCCGAAGCCTCCCAGCAGCACCATCTGGCAAGGATCTCAGCAAGGCAAACAAAGTCAAGGGATCAGCCCTCAGCTGTGCTACCTCTAGGCTGCACCAGTCCAACTATACTACATCTCACAGTGGAGAAACATCTGGATCCCAGTCCCTTTAGTCCAATACCCATGGGGTGCAACATCCCAGTCCCTGCTTCATTCAGCTGCAGGCTGATGCATTGTAGAAGTGCATCTGACATTGACTTGGACATGAGCAGCCTGTGTCCCATCACAATCACCAGCAACATCACATCATAAAAGGGGATACCGAAGGGATTAAAGCCTGCACAGGCAGGCAGGCTCTCTTGGACT